AAACATGGCTGTTCAACATGGCTGACTCCATAGAAGAGGACCCGCTTCCTGTCTAGATAAAAACAGCTCATTCTAAGGTAACAAAAACACAATGATTCTTATTTTCATTATACACAAATGAAAACATACCTATGAATATAATATTCAATTTCTGCATGAATGTTAGACACTGGACCCTTAATCAATGTCAGTATTGTATGAAAGTTAACTTGCAGAAAGGGGAAACTACATCTGACATTTTGAGTTAGCTGCTGATCATTTTAGTAGAAAAAGTAATTCAGATCTTCCATGAAAGTCTTTTTCAAAACAGCTGCATTAACTCATGTTAACAACATAACTCTGTCACTTGGATTGGACTGATTTTTACACTGTACTAAATGAATGAATGAAAGGAAAATGACCGTGGCCTAGAAGGTAGGAAGTCAACCTATAAACTTATAGTATGCTTTGATAAATGGTTGGGAGTAATATAAATGATAGACAGTTGTAAATTGTTAATTATAAGTATATTATACACCGTATATAACAGAGAAAAAGAAGTAAAGCTGCTGCATTGTCCTGCAAAGATTAGAAAAGGCTAGAGATATAGAAGCCTTCTAAAGGCCTTTTTAACAGAGCACATTTTTACATGTCACAGTAGAAAAGGCACAGGTGTGAATAATAAAATGAATGATGGCTGAATTCCATTTAGCTACTCACTGTCATACCGTCATGGCTTGCTTGGACACTTGAATAGAACGGAGCCATTCCTAATGTTATTAGTAACACCTGTCGTTTTCCTTACTGCAACATCAAAATGTCGGCTGTGAAAAAGTTCAGTTTTCTCCACTTCTGGATCATGTTTATGATGCACTTAATGTTGTGTAAACCCTATTAAACTGGTTATCTATTGGAGGCCCAGACCGGAATATATTTTAGTTGGACATTTTGATCATCTTAATTTATTATGATTGCTGTTGATCTTGTTATATCCTTAGAGCTGGGGATTGAAACGCAGTACCTTTCTGGACTGAAATGTTAATGTATACATAATATATGCAAGTACTAAACATTTTCAACTACTAAAAGTTTGCATTATTTTTGCATTTTTTTAGAAAAACAAATTGAAATGAAAATACCACCAATTTATATCACTAAAATAGTTTACTTTAAAATATATGTATGTGGTCTGAATTCTTCTCTTAGAAATTTAAGGACATTTCATTTTTAACTTTTTAACTTAGCTTTGTTCCTTATGAAGTATTTCTTATTAAGTGTATATAATGTTGTAGTTTATTTTATTGTATAATACACAAAATGTCTGTGTGGGAATATTAAAGAGCTAAATTGGAGTTCTGATTTAGTCTTTTGTTTTACCTCTTTGGCTTGGTCCAAAGCTGGGTTGCGCCGGCTTTGTGTAATTTCTAAGTTAGGGTGTAATGTCAACACTGGAGACTTAATAACTACTAGTTAGTTGATCTCTACTGAATTAATGTGTTGAAAAATGGCTGCAGTTAATGCAAAAAAAGTAGGTACTCTTAATGCCTGCTATCGGATTCCCCTTGAAATCAATGAAACAAGGTGGTAGAAACACTACTGCTTCTGTCCACAGGGGCCGTCAGAGTCAACCCAAAATTAAAGTTCCTTTATGGGCTTCAAAGATCAATCCAGATCAATCCAGTTGCTCAAACTGTCCTGATCAAATTCAATTTCAAAATTCAAAAATTCAAAATTAGGTATTCAGTTGCTGATGATTCCATAATTATGGCAAATATTTACTTCAGTGTTGTTGGTATCTGTAGTGACACTAGTATAAAAACATTGTAGTCCAGCTGCAGTCATTTTCATACGTTTGGATTTCAGTGCTTATAATGACTGAAATGTTAATTCAAAGTAATTTCCACACTGACAAGAGTGAAACTGTGCGGAAAATACTTGCTCCCTGTTTGGCATAAAGATGATAGATCTTTACTATATATTGTCACAAAGTGCTGTATTGCCTATCAGCAGCTGTATTCCACAAAAATATTATTGGCCATGATGAAATATCCCACATAAGAGCTCTTATCTAAAATGCACAATTGAAGAGAGAAATCATTTGTGTTCGGATTTAAATGTAACTAATTTCAAGTTATGAATATCTTTGTTCAATAATGCTGTGACTCTAATGCATGAATCACAAAGAGCTTATTTGTGAACCAGAAAAGAGAACAAGTGAGATAAATAGAAGAGGGAGAGAGACAGACGGGAGTCTATCTACTTTCATGCGCCATCAAATTACTCGATGGACTCAAATTTAGGGAGGCAACCTCTCAATGACACCTGTTCCATTAGCAGGACCTTGTTCAGTAATTGAGCTCTTGGTGGGTAGTTAAATTGGTTTAATCAGGTGTGTTGGGACTTCAGGGAAGCAGAGGCTTGCCAGACTAACGTAGCCTTTAATGACCTTTGTTGTTGTGGCTGTGGAGATGTTGTTGCCTCCCTGTGGAGCAGGCAGCAGGGAAAGGCAGGGACAGGAGGAGGGCTATACTCACTGTGGGAACTCAGGGTTGTAGAGAGTGGGCTGAAGGATGCCGGCAGGAAACACTGGGAGAGAGATAACGAAACAACATTAGGGAAGTGGAAATGTCCAGATACAACTTATATTAATATAACAGTACCCTGGTTACAGTGTAAATAGAAAAGTTTTTTTTTTTAAATCAAAGTGAGCACATTGATACAGTCTCCTTTAGAGGGAGAATGACAGTTAGGAGGAAATGGGAAACACAGACAGCTCAAAGCGGCACTAGCAGGATGTTAATGCAAACATCCATACTCCATCCCAAGTGTCACAGTTCAGCTGCCATAGAGGACAGTTGCAGAAAGTCTCTCTATTTCTCCAAATGTATTTCTTTCAGTACACAGTGAGAGCAAAATACTCAACAGCAGCGCGTTCTCACTTCATCCTGAGGAAGCTGCATGTACCAGCCATAGCTAAACTTGTCAAACTCCCACACCATCCTACACCCTGAAGAAGACATTTAGTTTATTAAAATCATTAGTATATTTTGAACCCTTTCAAACTTCAATCAATTCAAAAAATTGGCTCCTGTCACCACCTGCTGCTTGCCACTATTTGAGGTTATTATCATTGAAGTAGCTGCAGAATGTCAGCGGCTTGTTGTCTCAGAACCTTCAAAACTGTTCATTAAAGTGGGAAAATAAAAATATGTCTCATACCAAACGGAAGAAAAGAATGAAGTGTGGAAAGAATACGTAAACAGACAGAAAATGAACCATGTACATTTTGATAATTAATTAATAATTTGAGTTATCTACAGAATTAAGCAAATTGCCAAAAATGTGTTGTTGTTGTTGTTCCAGCTTCTTAAATTTAAAGAAATATGTTTGGGATTTGACTGTTGTTTGAACAAAGCAAGCCCTTTTAACACTCCACTTTGGACTCTGGGAACTTGTTTTAGCCATGTTAGCGGTGCGGCTCTGGGAGTGACAATGTCAGTTGGTTGGTCCATCACTTTGATCCAGACTGAAATATTTCAACTATTGGATGGACTAAAATGATATTTAGTACAGACATTCATGGTCCCTAGAGGATGAGTCCTTTAGTGATCACCAGCTGGTCAGAGCTTTTACTCATCCTGTGAAAGAAGTATCTACAAGATGGTTTGGCAAATATTTTGACTTATTCTTATGGGCTCTATCTGCAATGCTAATGATCAGCCTACTTTGTATTTAGTGCTAATTGGCAAATGTTAGAACTAGGACTGTAAACTTTATTTGCTTATTAGCTTTATCTGCTAATTATCAGCATGCTAGCATTATCATTATGTGCACATTGGTATTTAGCTCAAAGCACCACTGTGCCTATACAGACTCACAGAGCTGCTAGCAGGCCTGTAGACTCACTGCTCATATTTTTCACATTTTATAGACAAAGAGATTTATGAAAAACAAATCAGTAATTCAAATAATTATAGTGGCAGCATTGGCATTATGTTGGTTAACATATAGGTATTCACGGTTTAACATTATCATTGTGAGTGAAGTCAGTCATTTACTGACTGTAAGTCAATTAAATCAGTAAAGACTGTATCAATAAAGGTGCTCATCAGGAGAAATAAAATGACTTGTTCTTTTAATTAAACCTCTGTCCTTGTCTCTTTATAAAATTAAAAGAAGCCTAAGAGATGGAGGTACATCATAAGTGGGCAATATTCATTTAATAAAATAAAAAAATAAAACAAAATATATATAAAATGAATACAGAGCTGAGAGCTGAAGGGGTCGGGTTAAGTAAGAGAAATAATGTGTGTGGGTTAAAAACAATGACCCAGAGGGCTCTGATGACTGTGTTTGTCTGACTCCTCCCGTCCTCTAGCATCAGCTTGCGAGCATGCCATTGATTTTTCTGCGAGAGATTTAATCCAGCAGGCAGGCAGACACAGATCCTGGGAGAAGACGAGGAGAGGAGGGAGGGAGAGGGGGAGGTTCTCCGCACACACACACACACACATACACATCACACCAACACGACAAACCTCAACTACGTTTCCCCATTGCCATTCTGCACCACGACATGGACCGCGCTTAGTTACACGCAATTACACCATGTTGACCTGCCTGTTTTCGACCAAGTTCAAAACGCAGGCCCGCTTTAGAAAAAGCATCCACCTCCTCATATCATATTCTTCTCATCGGCTCACTCTTCTACTGATCGATCGTCCACCTCACATACTAATACCCCCCTGGAGGAAAAAACAAGCAGCAACACCTTCCCTGAGTTTAACAAATCTAGCCTTGCGATGTCAACCCCCCCGCCCT